ATTTGCGCAAGAAGCACTGATTTTGTACAGTACAGTCAGTGCTCTTGCGCAAATACTCACGGCCAGTGTAGACAGGTGGCAAGATTTTGCGCAAAATCATGCCAGTCTAGACGCAGCCAGAGTCACTACACACACACAGGCTTGTTTCTCAACAATTCCAGAGGGTTGTCTTTATTTAGGGAGTGTTTACTGTCTCCTGAGTTACATGTGGGCTCGAGGTCTCAGCTCTGTGACGTGTCTCTTCCCTCTTCTGCTTCTTGGTTTGGAGAAGTGTCCATCATAAGAACATCAGAACAGTCACACTGGGTCAGACCGAAGGCCCATCCAGCCCAGTGTCCTGTCAGCCGACAGTGGCCAATGCCAGGTGCCCCAGAGGGAGTGAACCGAACAGGAAACCATTAAGTGATCCCTCCTGCCACCCGTTCCCAGCTTCTGACAGAGGCTAAGGACACCCTCCCTGCCCATCCTGGCTAATAAGTATTGAACGTATCTATCTATTTTTTGAACCCTGTTGAAGTCCTGGTCTTCACAACATCCTCTGGCAAGGAGTTCCACAGATTTATAATCTCAGTGGCTACATCTACACTCCGAAAATGCTTATAACGGAAAAGTTTTCCGTTAAAAGTATTTTCGGAAAAAGCGCGTCTACATTGGCAGGATGCTTTTCCGGAAAAGCACATTTTGCAGAAAAGCGTCCGTGCCAATCTAGACGCACTTTTCCACAAAAAAGCCCCGATCGCCATTTTCGCAATTGGGGCTTTTTTGCAGAAGACAAATCTCTGCTGTCTACACTGGCCCTCTTGCGCAAAAGTCTTTCGGAAAAAGACTCTTGCCTGAACGGGAGCAGCACAGTATTTCCGCAAAAACATTGACAATCTTACACGAGATCGTCAGTGCTTTTGCGAAAATTCAAGCGGCCAGTGTAGACAGCTGGCAAGTTTTTCCGCAAAAGCAGAAGATTTTGCAGAAAAACTTGCCAGTTTAGACACAGCCGGTGTGTTTGGAGTCACAGCACTCAGCAAACCCTTCAGCCCCATGTTCACTACAAACTTTGGGCACCACATAGATACCAGTTAGTATATTGCTCTTGCACTTCCACCCGTGACCATGCAAGGTGCGGTGCATCAGACAGGGAACCCAGCGTGCTGCATGCTGCTCTGTTGCAGTGACTTTGGGGACAGTTTTGCAATGTGTTGTGGGCTAGACAGGACTTGCCCAGGGATCTCTGGGAACTCAGAGTCAAGTGTCCAGCCTGCAGCTTTCTCCATCCCATAGCGCTACCCAGGGCCACCCTTAGGGTTTAGGGGAAGCCACTCAGGGCTTTTAAACTGGTGCCCCCTGCCTGATGGCAGCCAGGGGCGGGATGTGGCTTAGAGATGTGATTCCATGAGCTTCAGCAACACACCAATGAAATATTTGTAAAGCAAATTTCAGAGGAAGGTGCTGCCGCCTCCCAGCCCCGCTGCCTCCCCTCCCTGGCCAGACCCGGCAGTGCCCAGTGGGGAGGGAGGCCCCAGCCGGCAGGCGCGCTCCGAGGCTGCCCACCCACAATCCCAGCCAGGGGGAGGGTGACTCCTAGCCCAGTGCCTGGCAGACTCCCCTGGGCTGTTCCCCTCTGCCTGTGCACCCTCACCAGGGAGCTGCATATGCGGGGGGCTATGGACTAAGTGCCCCGTGGGCCAGCGTGCCAATGCTCAGGCAGACTCCTGGCTCAGAGCTGCCCCATACGAAGGGGGGTTCCGTCCCGGGGGCCCTAGCTCACCGCCTGCAGTTCATTAAACCGCCCAGCTCCTTGGCCCACGTACGAAGCCCGGGAGCATCCCATGCTGGCTGCCACCCCTGTCCCTGGGTGCCTACGGTGAGACCTTCTCAGGGAGTCAACAGCAGACAGTGCCCTGCTCTGGCCATTGGCCCACGCTGCCCTGTCCTGGCACTGGAGGCGTGGTCCAGCAGAGCTCACCGAGGGCTGGGCGCAGGAACGTGGCACTTGCACCCCCATTTGATCCCAGAAGCACCCCCCGTCCTTTCAAGCAGCAGCCGGCGACTCTGACCCCGCGGGTGAGACCTTCTCAGGGAGTCAACAGCAGACAGTGCCCTGCTCTGGCCATTGGCCCACGCTGCCCTGTCCTGGCACTGGAGGCGTGGTCCAGCAGAGCTCACCGAGGGCTGGGCGCAGGAACGTGGCACTTGCACCCCCATTTGATCCCAGAAGCACCCCCCGTCCTTTCAAGCAGCAGCCGGCGACTCTGACCCCGCGACACTTTCTAATTGCCTTGCCTGCCTCACCGTGCCAGGCAGCGCAGCTGAGAGCTTGTTAGCGGAGGCAGCGGCGTTTCCGAGCCCAGGAAGGCCGGCTGGAGCGAGATGCTGCGGGAGGGAGGGGGGAGGTCTTTGGGGTGAACAGAGAGGCTCAGCTAATCTCCCCAGATATTTATTTTTTCCCAGCTCCTACGCAGATGGGATCAAAGTGTTAGCGTCTCCTGTGAAAAACGTCAGTCACTTCAGCTGCAGGGAGGCAAGGCTGGGCTCTCCCCACAGCCCCCATCTGCCTCTTAATGAGAGGAACTAACTTTAAGGGAGCTGGGAAGTTTTAATTATAACCTTGCAGCCGCACCGCTGCTAAGCCGGGTGCACACAAGCCTCTGCCGCTGCCGTCCAGCTCTCGGCACGCTAGGAAGGGGCTGGAATAATTAGGTCAGAGGGAGTCTGTACCCTCCCCCCAAGTCGGGAAGCAGCCACTTGCTAACGACCCTGGGTGGTGGGGCGGGCTGGCAGGCAGTCACACTAGGAGCAGCTCCCTGGGGAAGGAACCTGCTTTTAGCTACTTGCACCGGAGCAGATTTCAAATCCGGGGGGTCTGCTGCCCCCTCGTTGGAGTGTCACGTTTCTGCGCAACCAGCCCTGCCCCCAAGCGCACAGTTCTACGGGAGCCAAGCGGCTCCCAGGGCACTAGACGGGGGGTGGAGATTTTCTACTGGACCCTTTTCTGCACGTGCAGGCCTCCCTTCAGCTCCCCCCATGGGGGCCCAGCGCCCCGACTCCAGCTGAGCCCCAAGGTCTGCACTGCGGCTCAGGGCCTTGGGCAGTGGACTCGGGCCTGCCCTGGGCTTTTTCCTGCCCTGCAGACCCAGGCTCACAGCCCCTC